ATGCGTCACGAGGGATGGCTGTCATGGTGTTGAGGCAATGAACCGAAGTGGCGGTATGATGGTGTAGGACAGCGGTTGGGAGCCTAACTGGGTGAGCGTAAAGTGGGGTGAGGCAGGTCCCTACAGCCCGAGGGTCACAGCGAGGCAAGGCACGCCCGCCAGAGAGCCTAGAGTGGAGGGGGAGGCTTGGGAAGGTGCCTGGGGGGCGCAGGCTAGGCACCAGATAGGGGGCTGAGCTGCACCCGCTAGATCCACTTTCCTCTTCTGCTAATGTCCTTGGGTGCTGTCCTACCTCCTGCCTGCCTACCTAGCCAAGCTAGCATCGGCAGGTACCTGGAGGGCAGGTAAGGTAAGATGGGCAGGCAAGTTGCACCTGCATGCCTTGCTCTTACTTCCACTTGCCGAAGCGTGGTACCAGCTCTGGCAGTGCACTCACAATACCAGGTACCTTAAGCCACGGCAGTCAGCCATCGAGAGTTGCATTCATTCGTCTATCATCAACACTCCGAGTCCTACCGAAGCTCTGCGTCCGTCGAAAGCGGCCCTAGATCCTAGCCTTTGTCTTGACCTGTCCAAATTCAACCTTATTCGTGCAGACACCGACATTCTCCAGGCCGACCTCAACTACATCGCCATCTTTCAGCCACACCTGCGGCTTGCGGCCCATGCCAACGCCCTCCGGACTGTTTCGATCAGCTTGGTCTTCTTCTTCTCCTGCTCCACAGGGCAGGACGTGGGCAGCAGCAACTTACGTTCCCGTGAAAATGACATCGCCCGGCACGAGCGTCGTCCCCTGACTCAGCAGCGAGATGGCCTTTCGAATGCCAAAGATCATATCCGCCGTCGTCTGATTCTGCACCGTCTGCCCGTTGACCTTGGTTGAGATGCGCAGCCTCTGCGCGTCGCCGATGGCGGCGCCCGTCACGATGCCCGGGCCCCACGGCGCCCATCCGTCGTATCCCTTGCCGAGAGACCACTGGCCGCCGCCGCGCTTGATCTGCCAGTCGCGGTGCGAAACGTCGTTGCCGACGGCGTAGCCGAGCACGTAGTCGAGGGCGTCTTCCTCGGAGACGTCAGTCGCCTGCTTGCCGATGACGATGACGAGCTCGCACTCGTAGTCGAGCGTGCTGCCGGTCTGGGCGATGGGCGGTATGGTGATGGGGTCCGAGGGACCGGTCAGGGCCGTTGCGGGTTTGTACTATGTCCGGGGTCAGGAGAGCATGTGGAAAGGGGGGGCACAAAGGAAACACGCACAAAGAGGATGGGGTACGTCGGAATGGCCATGTTGGACTCCTTGGCATGGTTGGCGTAGTTCAGACCCAGACACCGCACCGTCCGGACGTGCTCCGGCGCGAGGGGCGCCAGCAGCAACCGGATGTCGGCCACCTTGTCGGTGACATTGTGCTGTCCAAAGATGTCACCCGTCACAACCCGCGCCTGTTTGGCCTTGGAAATGTCCTTGACGCCAGCAGGCAGGATGGCATCGCCGTAGTACGTGATTCCGTCCTTGGCCAGGAAACGGACCAGTCGCTAGATGCTTCTGCGTCAGCCTGGCGGTGTCATCCTTCATGTTCCTGATCCCATTGAGGCGATAAGCCCATGGATGGTGATACGGGCCCACTTACAGAAAAGGCGGGCATGGCGGGCGTCGGAAGAATTTGTCGAGTACTCTGACAAGTTGATTTTCAGCAGACAAATAAGGTTCAAGATGAATTGACCTCGAGATGATGAGAATGGGGAAAAATAGAAGAGACCACGAGTTGCGATCAGACACAGATGCAGAGCAGTGTCATTGCGTGATGCTACCCCAGGACCGGCGCCCGAAGCGGTTTAGCTCGTCTTGGAGCTCCCCCGAGTGCCGATGGAGCTCCGTCGAGCGCCAGACGCGTTGTGGCTGACATCACCATTGAATTGAATCTTTCTGCGCCCAGGGATTTTGCTGCCGTGAGGTACACAGATATCCGACGACAAATTGACCAGACACCACAACCTCCGCTCGTCTTCATCGACACACACCATCAACCAGTCATCTAACAGCATGGCCGTTTCAAAGAGGGGCCTCTCAGGCCTCCAGCGCGAGGTCCTCTCGCTCTACCGGCAATGCCTGCGCGGCATCCGCAGCAAACCCGAGGTTGGACCTGACTCTCACTGACGCTTCTCTCTCTCTCATGAGCTTCTGCGACTGACAGATCCCCAGGACAAGAAGCAGCACTTTCAGTCTTTTGCCCGCGCCGAGTTCCAGAAGCACCTCGCCGTCGACAAGCGCGATTTTGCTGCCATCGAGTTCCTGCTGAGGAAGGGCCGTCGCCAGGTTGAAGTCTACTCGTCCCCCGGCATCAAGGACATTCGATAACGGGCAGTTGTGATCGTCTCGCTGCACCTTGTGCGACTTGTATCTCTGTATTATTGGATGCTCTTTCTTTACTTCTCTGTTTTCGCTCCCTGGTACCGATGGCTCTTGCCATGGTCTCGACTTTCACAGGCAGGACCTTTGGGACACCGGACGCACCTCCCTCTTTTCTCAGCCCTACTTTCCAACCATGTCCTCGCCTCTCTCATACCTACCTTACCTACCTACCTAGGTACCTATCTACCTTACCTCAGGTACCTTACCCAGGGTAGGTAGGTAGGTAGATAATGGACCTTCGCATTCTCCTCCCCTCAACTCAATGCTGCCCTCCGAACCTCATCGCTCTCGAAACTCCTGTCAGAACAATCCCACGCCGCTATCACCACCACCCGCATCACTTCTTGGAGTATGGACCATGCTTAACTGCCACCTATGCTTTGCCGGCAGCAGTTGTCTTTCCCCAGAGATACCCCAGTCCGCAACAGGCCTTGCCCACCAGGCGGCCCGCGACGTCTATCACCATCCTCTTAGCTCCTCCCTCGAAGACCTCCGCCGCCAGCAACGCCTCGTCATCCGCGCCAACAGACGGAGCCGCGTCCGCCTGCCCACCGGCCGCGTGTCGCCACCACTGCACGTGTCTGTCTACCGAAGGCTCGAGAACGTCCATCCTGCATCCATTGATGCCGCGTTCGCTGCGAAGAGAAGACGACAGGACATGCGCCTGCGCAGGTACCTGACGAACGAGGCGCGCCCACAATATCCCATTTCTGCCCCCCACAAGACTGAATCAGTAGCAAGGCCGACTGTTGACCTTGCGACGTACCCTCAAAAGCCGAAAATGCACTTCTCAGGCCAGAAATCTCAGTATGCTCCACCTGTTCCTCCACGCAACCCAGGTCGAACCTCTAGTCGGTTCCTCAAACCAAGGCCGATGTCGTCGGTCCGGAGGCCGATGTCGAGCCAGAGGCTACCAACGTTGCGTCGGGACTCGGCAACGCAGACAGTCATATCGCAGGGAGGGCTTCCGAACAGCGCTCATCAAGCCGCATTCTTGGGCCCTGGTTCCTCCAAAGCACGGGGTCAAGCCTCGCCCGTCCGTGCCGGGTCTTCTCAGGAGGTCGACCCTAAACTGTGGGATGCCGTTCGTCGCAGCCTTTCTCAGCAAAGCCACATCTCATCCCTCATATCGCCTCTTGAAGCCATATCTATATCTTCAGGCCCATTGCCCCCATCACGAACTTCCAGCCAATGCAAAGCTCTTGACCAGTTCACGCAGCAGCTTGAGACTTTCGCTACGCGCAGAGGCGTTGCAGGTAGGGTCCCTGTCTTCACACCTACACCACAATCAGCAATTTCATACCACACGGTATCTGCATTACTTCCATATCAGGCGGAGTTCCAAAGTGCCGGGTTGGCTGTGACATCTAAACAACAACAAGAACGCTCTCCAGGCCGAAAGAAAGCACCGCGAGCTCCCCTCGAAGCGCTCGTCTTTGGCGATCACAGACCCTCCAAGCCTCGGGAATCTCCCAATGTTCGCAGCGAGGATGAGCTCGGCGCGTTTCACCTGGATGGCGTTTACAAAGAACTGCCGACACGCGCCAGCTCATCCAGCTCGTCTTACTCGAGTCACGACACGGAGATTATCTTTACGGATCCAAGCAAACCACAGGACCTCACATAGCTTGATCAGGTCCCGCCGTCCAAGGATAGATCGACATCCAAAATTTGTCGCCTGCCATGCTTTCGGAACGAGCAGACATCAACTGCTGGTAGCACACCAATTCCTCAAAGGTCGCTAGAGACGCCCAGAAAAGCTCTGCGACAAGGCCAGCGTGAGAATACTGGCCCTACGCAGTCGAAGCACCACCGGCATGATGTACGACATGTACGGCAATCAGATCTCACGTTACAAGACGGGACCGCACCAGTACCAGATTTCATAAACAAGCCGACAGTCAAATTTCCCACGCAGACCAATCATACTCAGAGTGTCAATCCTAGAAAACCCACAGGGCTGCGCCAAAGTCATACTCGGCACTCCAGACCACCGCCTGTAGACTACTCGGCGCTCAAAGGTCTACGAAAGCCTCAACAACCACATGGACATAAAAGTACGCTGCATCAACCGGCGGGACAAGCCGAGAAGGCTGCTACCATCGAGCACAGACTATCCGAAGCGGAAATACCTGCATCTACAAATGTCAGGACATCTGCGGTTGGGCGGCCTGCGACAATCACTGAAGAGCCTGCTGTCCCCGGAGTTCCTTCAGATGGGATATCGAAAAATGCAAAGGCTTCAGCTGCTGGCCCTAGAGGAAGACCTGGCCAGTCGCTCAGAATATCGGCTCGACAGCCGGAACGAAAAGCCCGCGAGAAGCTTGAACTGGCCAAGAAGCATCGCGACATGCAGCAAGCCCAGCCGCGGCCGTCCGCAATCTTCAGCGGTCGAGCGCCTCAGCCTAAGGAGCCCGTCCACCCCCCTCCGTCACCTCCCGCGCCAACTATAGGGTCAACGAAAGCCAGCATTGTTGCTAAATGTGCTGAATCCGGCGTGTCCGTGCCGGAGATACCACCCATGTGGGCACATGGAGTCGACAATGCATCCTCACTTGAGACGGCGCTTTTAGATGCTTTGGAAACGCTACAAAAGGAGGGAGATGCAGTTGCGGCGACGCTGGACCCAGTACAGAAGGACACCCTCGGTGGTGAAGGAAAAGAAAACGAAATTCTCTCTCACGCGGATCCGGAGATATCTAACCCTCGGGGTACATTGTCCCCTAAGGCTACATCTTTTCAAGGCACAGAAACAAAGCCGGAAGGGAGAGCTCGAACTATCAGTGCTTCCGGCGCCGACGTGCTATCGGACACGAAATCACAGTCAGCGGCGAGTGTTTCGCACCACGAGACTACTAACACTCCAGCCGAGAGTACGAGCTCAGCGCAACCCAGTTTCCGAGGCGGGTTCGACGACCGGGACGTCCTCCGGGGCTTGCGTATTGCAACCTCTGCGGCGTGCGATGATGACGTGGACGCGTGGATACGGGAGAAGACTGGAGTTTGGATACGGCGATTTTTGGCGGACCTCAGGGCGTTTGAGGTGCTTGGCGACGAGCCGGAGCCGGAAGAGCCGGAAGAGCCGGAACCGCGGGCCCGGCGACGGAGGGCAGAGCTACGCAAGCGCAAGGCGCAGGCACGTCGGTCGCAAGTGGCACATCAGGGGTTGGTCTAGCGATGGCAGGGACGTTCCCAGCCTTATAAGAAGCTTAAAAGTGCCAGGCGAGGGATGGCGGACCGGGGGTGACCGCGCAGTAGTTGCATCGGCTAGGGTGGGAACACGACGCCAATGTTGGTGATAGATCATTCAGGACCATGCCTGTCAGCCTGAAGCAGCGCGGAGTGCAGCATGCGAGGTGATGAGATGCCACGTTCCACTTGTTGATCTTGGGTCCATCTTGAGCATCTAGTAGGGGGTGGGGTGTTTACCACGAACTTGGGTGATGTCGCTGCCATGGGACGGTCATCAGGCCCCATCCGGCCACAGCATGCGCGCTCCGCAGGTACTGTCAATGACAAGGTACGACGAACGAGAAGGGGCCAACCGCGCCGGCGAACCTGCGACAGTTTCGGCGCCGGTACGCCGGTCGCGCGCTCCGGGTATCACCGCGTGCGCCAATGGCAACGGACACTGTACTCTCCCCGGAGCGCCGAGAGGTGCGATTTGCCGACCGGCGTGGCAGACGCGCCAGACGCGCGGGAGGCGTGGCCTCTGCCGAGTCGGGCGCAAGGGGTGGCGCTGTGGCGGATGCCTGGCCGTTGAGCCGGGTGCGAGTCAGTCGGACGTCTGAGAGAGGGTGTACAGTAGCGCGTGAGCGGGTTGCAGCTCACTGAGCTCGTCGAATCTGTTCAAGTTTGCATGTTGCGGCGCGGGGTCGGGCATGACGATGTCTGGCGGAAGCTTGATGGGAGACATCGGCAAAGACTACAGTACAGTACATGGTACATGTAGACGGTGGCCCCCGAGTCTAGTCCGCAGGCTATTGCCGAGTAGTGGAGCTGCGGTCCAATTCATCTACTAACGTTTGCGAAGAATCAAGGCGTAGCAAGCGAAAATGCCGAGTCTCCATGTCTCTCTGGATGGTATCTCGTCCGCTCGGCTCTTGACGACGACCAAAAAACGGGCCCAGTTTCGCTGCGGGACGGGAGAAAGCACGCCGAGGCTAAGAAACCGCAAACCTAGATCACAAGCAGCCAAGGCAGCGAAAACAGAGACAACAGGCCCAACAGGACTCCACCGCAGAAAGACGACGAGACGAACGCCGTTTACCCGTTACTTTGTCTTGGCTACATAGTACAAGTACAACACCGAGACGCCACAGGTCCTCGACCACCCAAGCTGCCGCCCGTCCACCCGACCTGTAGTCTTCTCTCCCGGTGCCGCGTCTCGTCTGCTGCGTAACCCTCTGCTTTCTCCAAGGGGGTTGGTTGATGAACATGCGTCCGTAGAATATACAACCATGGCTCCGAGGAACGCCCACTTTCCCGCGCAGCGAATAGCTAAAGGCCGTCCCCGTAGCAAATAAAGTGCAGGGAGATAGATCCCCCGCCCGCCCGCCAACCTACATCGTACTCTTCTCCCCTCGCACCCCCATGCTTGATGAGCCCCCCCCTGTCCATACCCATGCCTCATCACCCCTGTCGCGGTGGCCCTCCGCAATCCTTCCCGTTCCCACTCTGTCTCGTCAGCGCTTACTCCGCACCTCGACGCACCACAGATCGGCAAACCCCAAGGGAGATGAGGGGGAGACAAGGAGGCCTAGCCGACTGCGGTGACACACCAGCACTGCACACCCTAAAGGCCGAGGGCAGCGACAGTAGAAAACAAAATCACAGCAAGTCAAGAGAGCAGCACGTATCCGGAAGGATTCTGTATTCGTGGTATCAATAATAGCGAAAGTCCTAGGCAGGCCCCTTTCCACCCCTCGATTGGAGGGGGGAAAACCGGCCGTTGTTCTCATTAAATCCCGATTCGTGACGTGGTGACCAACGCATCGACGGGCGCAAGAGAGACACGTGCGCGACCTGGGCCGTGGCGGCCTGGACATGCAGCATGCGACGCCTTGGCCGGCGTGAAGAAAGTGAACATAGAGCGAGCCTCAAGCAACAACCGTCTGTCCCTAGACCTTGGAGTGGTACTGCACCTGCTCGACGCCGGCGTCCTCGCGCTTCTCGGCCTCCAGGGCCGTGTCCTTCTCGACGTGGCCCAAGTCTATGTCGGCGACCTGGGCGTCAGGGCCGTCAATGACCTTGACGAGCTCCTCGAGCGTGGGTCCGCGGGTCTCGACAAACATGTAGAAGACGAAGCACAGCTCGAAGAAGACCCAGATGACGTAGATGAGGTACAGGATCCACGTGTTGCCGCCGTAGCCAGTACCCTCCTCGCCCTTCCAGTGGTCCATGGCCACGGGGTTGGCCTGGTTGTTGAGGCAGAGGGCGACCTGGATGGCAATGTTGAGGATCATGAGACCCTTGGCACGCAGCGAGTAGGGCAGAATCTCGACGGCGTAACCGATGAGGAGACCAGACCAGGCCGTCGCGTAGAAGAACGAGAAGACCCAGATGAAGACGATCATGGCAATGTTGGCGCCGGGCGCGCGGTGCTGCTCGTAGAGGCCGCAGGTGAGGGTCCATACGCAGAGAGTGCCGAACATGCCACCGGTGGCCAGCAGGAAGATGGGACGACGGCCGACCCTGTCGACCATGAGGGCGAAGCTGATGGACACAATCATGGACATGCTCGTGTTGCCGGCGTTGAGACCCAGGCGGGCCGTCTCGTCAGAGATACCAGCGTTTCCATACAGGAGAGAGGTGTAGTTGGAAATGATGGCATTGCCGGACCACTGCGAGAAGATACCGAGGGCGATGATGACGATGAGACGGTAGCGGTTACCCTTGGTCTTGAAGAAGTCGACGTATTTGGTGCTCGTATTGGCGGCCTGCTCGAGGCGGATCGTGTCACGAATCTCGCGGAACTCAAACTGAACCGTGGGGTGCTGGTCGTTGCCGTTGGCGTGGTACTTGGCGAGAATGGCGAGGGCCTCGTCGTCGCGCTCCTTGGCGATGAGGAAACGAGGCGACTCGGGCACCCACCACAGGAAGAAGAGCTGGAACAAGGAGGGGGCACCCTGCAGGATGGCGGGGATACGCCACGACCAGTCGTTGTTGAGGTTGGCCGTGCCAAAAGTGGTCCAGGCAACAATGAGGGCACCCAGGTTCCACAGGCAGTTGTAGACGGTCGTGAGACGCGCGCGGTGCTGGGGGTGGGCAATCTCCGTCAGCAGCATGGGCGAGGCGATCTGGGAGAACGAGTTGCCGAAGCCGAGGAGAACACGGCCTCCGGCAAAGGTGCCGTAGTTCTGGCAAGCACCCTGCATGACAGCACCGACAATCATGAGGATGAAGCCAATGACGATGGACAGCTTGCGGCCCCAGTTGTCGGTGATGATGGGAACCATGGGGATGGAGATGACGGAACCGATCTGGTACAGGGCGACGAGAAGGCCGAGGTCAGCGCCCTTTGGGTTGCCGAAGAAGTCCTTCCAGGACTGGAAGTTCTGGACACCGTTGAAGAACATGCTGTGAAACAACACCTGTCAGCTGGGTGCTCATTGTTTCTGGCCCACAATCAAAGAGCGAGGACAGAGCAGTCTTACCCATCGTAGCCTGTGGCAGCAGACGAGATGGAAAGAATGACACAGTAGAAGTAGAGTTTCCGCAGGCCAGGGTCCTTGTGCCAGACGACGCGCTCAAACTTGGGCGCTTCCTCCTGGGCCACGGTCTGCTGGCCGTTGGGCTTCTCTTGCTTGAAGTAGGTGAGCTGCATGCTGGGCAACTGCTCCTGGCGTGCTGGAGAGACAACAAGACGTCTTTGGTCGGCGATGCGGAGGGGGTACCTCTTCCGCGAGCAGGCTGAGCTATGGGCCTCTCGCAAGTGTGGGCGAGGGGATGAGGAGAAGGGATGAGGATGAGGAGAGAGGAGTCAGTGTGAGGTTGAGGCGGGGACCCCAGGTCTAGATATACAGAGAAGGGGAAGAAAGGTTCTGCCAGGGGGGGAGAGCAGGCCATGAGCACGGGCATGCGGACCGGCCTTCGAACCCAGATCACCATCCAGGACACGAATGGCACGCGGTCTCCATCGAGCGAGACAACCTTGCCACAATATGTTCAATTAACCTGCAGGAGGGTAAGCTTTGCCAAGTACCCTGCATGGAACAGGGGTGGCATCCGGCAGCAAGGCTAGAATACGGGGCCTGGGGCGCTGGGGCGCTGGGGCGCTGGGCGATAATCCGGCAAAAGTCGACGTCGATGAACGAACGAAAGGATGAACGAGCCTGATGCCACTGACATGGATGGGGGTGGGTGACCTTGGTGCCGTGAGAGGAGCAGAGGCCAGGGGCGCTGGGGGGGCGAGCCGGCGGTGGCTAGCGGCGGCGGCGGCCGGGCGGGCGAAAGTGAGACGAGACCAATGATGTCCGAGCCGACCCCAAACCTCCACGCGAGGGTGCTCCGAAGCACGATGCGGAGTGTCAATTGCAACTTGTACCACCCCTGAGGTGCGCCAGAACAAGACAGACGCCCACAGCGGAGGCAACGGAGCCAGCGCCCGATGTGACGTGGATCCGCGTACTTCTTCGCAAGACATCACATGCCCAAACACTCGGGGCTCCGTCAAGCTGGAACTGCAGCCATCGCAAGCCATTTTGTCTATGGCAGGTTTGGATCAAACGCGATGGCTAAGCATTTTGACCAAGAGATACTGATGCTGGGGATGGTCCACTTTGCTGCTTTGCCGTGGGGCAACGGACGTCGATCCATCTCTTGGGTTTCTCTTGGAGTTGCCTTGGCTTCGTACGACGAACAGCATCGGAGAGGTCGAGAAACGAGAGGGAGAAGAAGGAGCAATGCCGAATTAGGACGGAGCCTGTTTGCTGTGCTGCTGCCGCACCAACTTCGCATCGTGCATTGCCGTTGGCGACCGCTTTCTGCTTGCTGTGCAAGACACCCACACAGTCCTCTTCATGGTGTGTGATGGCTCCATTTGGTGGGGTGAAGAAGAGAGTGGGTGTCCACGTATACAGGTCCTGGGGATTTTGTCCGGGGACTGGGGGTCTCTGCGGGGAAGTAACACCGAGGACGGCCTGCGAGTTGGCCTTTATGACTGGCGCCCTGGCTCAGGCTTGTTGCAACCAACCGTGGTTCGTCTGACAGCCTTTGATAAGTGGCAGACAAGCAGCCCCTGTTTGGCATTAAGGTGACCACATTCAAGGGGCGCCTTCCGAAGCCGAAGGAGAAATGCCAAGTCCAGTCGTTGGTAGGCTCATGTCGAGCGAATCGGCGACGTGCCATGTGGCAGCCCAGGTAGGCGTTGCTCTGGCCTGAACGTGTGCAAAGTATCCTTTCAGAACCCGGAAAGTTTCCAAGAAACTTCGCGAGACACACCATGTGATGTGTTGTAATTCGGCCAAGCTGGACTGTCGGCACGTTAGGCAGCCTGTGCCTTTCGGACTGGTGGCCTCGACGATATCAGCGGCGAAGGTGTTGGTCGGAGCCATATGCACTACTCAGAGTGGCCTGCCATGGAATGGTGGATCGAGAGAACAATCGTGCCTCAGTAGCTAGTGCTGCCAGGGGCCATGGCCATTGATTTTGGAGGCCCACCCTCTAAACGAGCTGAGACGGCACAGCTGCCATGCTGTTGCGTGTCGCATTTCGTGACCAACTTATTGGGTATTGTCCTGGCCGCCTGAAGAGGCTTCTTCCTTCTAGAGCTTTGGGCGGGTGTTGCCTGTCCAGGCGAGTCGCCTAACACCACCCCTCGCTGTACTGTAGGTCATCGTCTGCTTCAGTGACGGCAAAGCTGTACATGTACGTACGGATTGACAGGCTATCCTTGATTCAGGTAAAGGAGCGTGCAGGTGACATGCCAAAACGCCCTGTACCGAGTCCTGCGTTGACACGGCAGACCACCCGCGCGCTCGCTCTCCACTTCCACCACTAACGCCCCCCCGCCCCAGATTTCAATTTAGCCTGAAGACGGCTAAATTCACACATCGACAGGAGCCGACAAGGCATTGCCTGTAGGTGGGGGGCTCAGCGCCAGGGTGGGAGAGAGGCGCCAAGCGCTCGTAATGCCGCTGGGCGTTGGCATTCAGCCGGATGGTATCGTCTTTCTTCCTAGCGCGCACGCACGCATTCGAGACTCGGCAAATGATCGAAATTGGTGGGCAGAGAGAGTGAACGAGTCATCCCATGATTCGAATCTGTGCCGCCGCCGAATTTGGGCCTGTCAAGCTTGGCGCGATCTTGGGGGGGCGGCGATGGTCCGACAGGAGAAGAGGAGCCGGATATTCTTTGCCCAGGTCAAGTCGAGCAAGATTTAGGTTCATTTGCCCTTGATGATACGCGTTTGGCCTCACAGAGCCATGCTGGGCTGGTGAGTAGAGGACCCGTAACATTGATGGGATGCCTCAATGGAGCACAGGCCAGTCGCAAGGTCGAGCAACCGAGGTCATCCAATTTGGTTCCAGCAAGTGTTTCCTTGGCTACTGCTTGGCCGTTGCTTGTTGCAGACCGACGTTGCTCGGTCTCGGTAGCTCCCATGTGCGCTGGAGGAGCCTCGGGGCCCACTGAACAAAGATCTTGCCCTGGTGTGGCCATAGGCAAGGCACGAGCACCACAAGCACAATGCAGGAAGTGAGGGCCGAAGTTCCTAGGTCACATAGAAGGATGCTTTGGTGCGTGTTGACGACGTGTTGGCCTCGGTGAGATACCAGCTTTGGCAGCTGTCTCTCTTCCTTTTCCTGCTTTCAGCCTCTCGTTCGGCCATCAACCGTGATGCTCGCTAGAGGAACATTGATGGGTGTAAGTTTGAGTTCGAGTGCTGTAATGTCGCGTGGAGGGAAGAGGCACAGATGGGTGACTGGGGTTGAATTTAGGCTGGGAGGATAAACAGCCCGAAAAATGGGCACTTTTTTTCGGGGTACAATGTACAAGCCAATCCACCAGGGCAAACTTTGTCAATTACACCCGGACTGTGCCTTCCCTGGCGCCTTGCCCAAGCCGCTCGCTCCTTCAGGCTGGGTCAGGTGACGGCAACTGCCTGGCGCGTCGTCAACACCACCATGTAAGCCTTTCAGATCAAAGTTCGATGATATGGCGTTTCACGGCGATCGAGTCAAGGCCCAGAGTCATGGGAAATTCGGGTTGTATGTCACACGAGACTAGCATCTTGACAAAAGCATGTGTGCCTCGCTATGGTTGCATGGCACAGCATCAGCCCTGTCCTAGGTTGCATCACATGAGATACAGCACTCTTTTTCTACTTGGAACATGCCTAAGATATGAGCTCACAGAAAGCCTGCACATGGAGGCTCGCAATGATTGTGAACTGCAATCAATAGACAGACGCCATGACTGCTCTCCGAGTACGATGCATACCCCAGGGCCCGTTCGTTCATGACCCACAGCCAAAGCTTGTGAAGCCAAGCTGCGTGCTCGTCTGGGCATATTGGTACGGTCCCAAGGTATTTCCAGTGGATATGATCGGCATGGGCCATATGCACAAAGGGCTCAGCTGTTGATTGTTGTCCCATCCAACACGTCGGGACGAGGAGAGATGACTTGCCTGCCCAGCCTGGCCCTTCTTGGCTGCCCATGCCCAGACATGGCTCAAGCCGTTGAATGCCCGACCGTGGGCCGAACCGAGTCTGGGCGCTGTGCAATTTTGCCGCCCGACTGGCTGGACCAAAATGAGCGGGTCAGTACTTGTAGCTGAGGGAGGGCGTAGGCAGAAGGCAATGCTGCGCTTGGTTGTTCGCAACCGAGCGGCCGGCCTAGGCATGTTCCTCCATCAAGGCCGAGAAGATGAGAGGGAGGTGTGAGGCCTGGACCATCGCCGCCACCGGGGACTTGCCTCCCTGTTTAGCAGGCATCCGATGACCGGATGATATCGGCGTCTGACAGGCACGAGCACTTGCCGGCTATGATTCATTATACCAGGTCCATCCTCGTAAATTGCTATGTCTGAAGAACATGATTGTGAGTCTTCTGACCTGGGTGGGCGGTCCCAGGATCTCGATGCTTTAGGTTTGGAGTGTGCATTCTCTTTCTGTATCTGTGGTACAGACGATGGTAGATCTTGGCGCTTCCCGGTGGGACGATGCGCTCCATTGCTGATCGATGATTTGGTACCGTTCGAATGTATTTCTGGATAAGAGGTTGGGTTGCAGTGCATGACCGTGAGCAATCCAGTCATTGTTGACACACGGAATGCGATCCCTCGAGCACTGATTTGTTCACCTTTCCAAGAAGACCATTCTGCAAATCTCGGACCCGCGAAACAAGGCTGCACCTCAGAGCCAGCCGGAGTGCCCATGCGCTTTCGGAATCTATTCTCGCCTAGATAAGGTACTTACTGGGTTTCTTGGGCGAGAAGATGATTTAGTTCCCAGATAAATGCGCTTCGGTTGATACAACCCGCAATACAGTCTGCCGAATGAGAACATGACTGCCGCCGTGTTTTTCTAGGAGGAAATTCAGTTCACAGGGCTAGTATCGAGGCATAAACGATCAACTCATGAGAAAGAGACATGTATTTAGATTTCTAACGGCGGTAAAGGGTGAAACGCAGTTCGCAGAACTATCCATGGCGTCTATGATCATGCTTAGGAATACTCTGTCCGTAATCGCCTGACCACCTCTCTACGAATGCAATTTACAACGCAAAACTACGAACTCGCAATACTAATTCAGCTCCCCAGCAAATCGATACTTGAAGGTGTCCCGAACCGTGGCGTTAAAGGCAGCATCCTAGCAATGAGAACGGCGATACCATGGTTGCTGGTTAGCGGTCTGAGACATTTCATCAAGGAGAATATCAACATTCGTTCAAGCCAAAATCTCGGGGCATTGGGACGTCCAAAAACTTGCTCTGGCATCCTGTTACTCGTGTTTCTACACATAGCATTATGGATTCATGCCGCATCATCATTATCAAACGATATCTTCAGTCCGTCGAAACTCACGAGGCCTTCCCAGACAGATCCCCTATAGAGAGAATAATGGGAATACGAAGTAGTGAGGGCAGGAAGTGCCACCATCATCAGTTGTTGTTGAATCTGTGGTGTGAAGACTGCGCAGTCAAAGTAGCCCAACTCACCGTACAAGATTACCTTCACTTGCGACATTCCAAAACGTAGAATGTCAAGGACGCCAGCGATAGCAACTGAAATTCGCATTCATTGTTATCAAGTTTTCCTCGAACAGTAAGATTCCTTCCTCTGTAAGGTACCTAGCTTCCTCATACTTCATCCAACGATGCAAGCTGACTTGCACCGAACGTCGACTTGGTGGCTGGTGACAACCCAGCCACAACCCAGCCACAGGACTGACCGAAACGTCGGGCACGGCAGACCTCACTCCACCAACGATGAGCAAGCCCACATCCCCGCCATCCCCGAGGAAGGCATCAACTGCCGAACTGAACATTGGAACGAATGGATGCACTAAGCACTGCCCTCCCCACCGACTTGCAGGCGCTGCGCGACAACTTTACCGTCCGCGAAGGCGACCGTGAACACTTCTACCGATGCTGGCGCAACGCCGAGTGCCACAAGTGCCTCAGTGAGCCGCAGTGCGGCTGGTGTCCCCTCGTGAGCGCGAGCACCACTAATTGCAAAAGGTAACACATGGCTGACAAGTGTCCCAGACGTGGGCGTGCGTCCCAAACTCGTACCCGATCCCGCTGCTGGCGCCGGCGTACGACGAGGGCATATGCCCATATCGCGAGGAGCGCTGGGAGATGCGCACGAGGCCGCTGGGTTGCCAGGTGTCGACCGTCACGGGGCTTACGGGCGTCATCTCCATCGCGTCGACGCTCGTCTTCCTCCTGCTGGCCGTGGCTGCAGTGTTCGCGTGCCGCCGTGCATGGCGCTGGGGTAAGGCTGGGCGTCACAGGTGGAACAGGTTTAGATCGAGTG